GAGACTGAGTTCCTCATTACCCGTGATTTAAGCTAAAAATGAGGTAATTATAGATAACATCAGTGTTTATCTAGTTGTTCTTGGCACCTGCAGTCCTAACGTTGTAGCTTACCCATATCTGTTGCCACACTTTACAATCTGAGGCTGACATGTCTAATTTACACTTCTCATATTTCCATTGATTTCAAGTTAGATGTTCCTTGTTCTCTATATGAATAGTATTTTTTAAATCTTACTTTTAAAATTATACTACCAAGATTTATGGTGCACAGTCCTTTTACTGCTAGAAATCTTTCACTAATACATAATCTATATAGGTTAGAAGCAAATTAAAAATTTTCTTGATCACCATTTCATTTGCTAAAACAATATGTGATTATAATTAATATGGAAGTTTTTCAGATATAATGTACTTTAGGATTATAAAATTATGTAAAACTTTTTATATCAATTCAACTGTCTTCCTTTGTGCTATCTAATTGTGATCTAATCCTTCTCAGAGGTCATTTTCTGTTCCCTCTGCCCTTTAGGATAGTCAGGATTGAGACAGGGTCTTACAATGTATCTTTACTGGCCTAGAACTCTAAATCCTCCTCTTTCAACCTTTGGTATGCCGGGATTATGCTAGCATGCATACTAAGCCTCCCAAGTCCTTTTCTTCCTAGTCAGACCTTAAGATGGTGATGGTTACCTTGTAAGTTACATGGCCATCTCTAAGAACTCTGTCACACTGTCTGTTATGACACTTCCCAGAAGCCAGAGTTGGTCCCCCTACTTTTCCTTCTTCTACTCTCTCATTTCAGCTTCTCTGTGGAGATGGGCCTTTTCAAATACACTCAGCAATTTATCAGCAGAAGCCAAAGCACCTCACTGTAACCAGGTATTGGAGGTTGTCAGCACTAGACTAGATACACTCAGAACACTTCTCCCTTATTGTAGTTGGGGTTTCTCAAATTACAGTCCCCATACAGATTTTATTACCTGCCCAAATGATACCCCAAATGGTGTAGAAACCATCATATAAAACATACAATTTTTTTACATGATTTCACAATTTGTGTGAATGATTCTAATTTTTAGTCTTAAATACATAATTTAATCTTTCATGTATCATTTAAGTTATAAAAGTACTTAAACAATTAAATTTAGAAATTACCAAATTGTTTCATATCAATTTTATATTGTATTTGGGAAAATATAACATTAGGTGTAATTGGAAATAGATACTTCGTTATAATCATGCTGTATTTATTCATTGAATATTGAAATTTATTCCCATGTCAAAAATAAAATGCCATTCCAGGAGAGTACATAAATAGTTATTAGATAGAGGACTTCAATTGTTGCTACAAATAATTGATTTCATTTTTAAAAAATGATTACTAACCTCATGGCAGTTTTTAATCAGTCATAGTATTCTTTTCAGAGAAACACAAGGTCAAGTGCAAAGTAGTTTTCAACACAACACTCCTTGAAGTATTCCATGGCAAAGACTTCTAATCCATTAGCCTGGCATGAGATATGAAACCTATCTCTTCTGCCTGCTTATTAGCTGCTGATTGTTTTCAGGGACCCAGTGCCTGCAAGGTACAGAAGTTGTCACTAGATGTCACTAGTACCTTTCAAAGGGAGTCCCATTTGACCTGGGTTTGTAATTTATTCCATTTAATGATTTCACGTATCTAACTAAATATACCAGATTGTCTTTAATTGATCACAGGAGCTGTTGTTAACTTATCTTCTTATTCGGACTGTTGAAAACTTACATCCTTAGACTTGATAATGAAAAACTGAAAACAAGGAAACATAAGGACACTTCTTTGTCCTGTGAGAGACCATTTTTGCCTTGGTCTCTCAGGAGTATCATGTGTCCCTTTAATGTTACTTGTCTTCCTTGTTATTTTAGAGTAATTTAATGTTTTCTCATTTATAATATACTGATAAAAACTATTCCATAGAAGAGAAGGAAAACTAATGTAGTCATTGTGATGTCTGTTAGAGCTTTCATCAGTTTGAGATGTTATGCCTTAATTAGAACTGTAAGTACCCATGAATAAATTCAAAGGATTGTAAATTTTAGAGATACTTTTTCTAATTCATATGACATGCTCTCCTTTTCTCTATACCAACACCATAATCAAGGTACAGAGTTTTATTTAAGCTAATAAATAATCCTATGTAAGCAGGTAGGATCGCTTGTAACATGACCTTACAAACCAGCTTGACTTGGCAGGATAGTGGTGAGTCTAGCCACCAGGTTTACTTGTACTTTGTATAGTTTCTTAGTATCTTTGAAAAGGAGTTGATTTGATAAGAAACTAGAGAGGTTAATCATTCAATACTAGAATTACTGATATTTGGGGGCCTGCTTTCTTACAGAATGATAGGTCCTTTTGGGTTTAAAATACATTGAAAGCTGTGCTTTTTGTTTACAGATCACAAGCCAATTAAACATAAGTGACTTTTCTGAGGTATTCTTCTAGTGTACTGCTTATCTTAGCTTTGAACATTACTTAAAATTACATAAATCAAATATGAGGTATTAGTATATGTGTGAAACTAGAGATGGAAATTTTTTATTATTATAGTTAATACAAATATGTTAAAAGAGTAAAAAAAAATCAAACAACTTTTCATTGAATATTTCTTTGATCTTGACGTGACCGAGAATAACAGGCAAGAAAACAATAGAAATAGCACCAGAAGGAAATAACACTTGATCTAAATTAAGCACAAATTAAAAAGCTTCATTGTGTTGGAAAATTGAGCTAATTTGTATGGCTGACAAAGGTATGATATTTAATGTGAAAACTCCTCTCGGGTCAATAATAAAGCATCTAAAATAAAAGCAATATTGCAATTCTATTAATAAAATTTGACTATTTTTAAATCTTATGTGCTGTGTAATCTTCTGGGAGGTTTTTGGTATATTCTCTTAATCTTCATAACAATGCCTGCCCCATCCCACTCATCCACAGTTAGTTTGGGGGAGGGTTATTTAATCCCTGGCCCTGGACTAGGTAGTCAAGCACTGAGCTTCGTCTTCAAGTCCTCATAATAATTCTTCGAAATAGATGAACAATTATTTGTGAAACTATGCCATTTCACAAAATAGAAGACTAAGACACAGAAGGTTAAGCAACTCATTCATGTTGGCTTGCGCAGTATCTGTGAGATTGATAGGGTTTCTGACTTACATGGATGGCATTTGATCTTAGAATGTGGCTTTCCTACCAATACTCTGAACCACTACCCTACACTGCTTAAAATGGGAAAAGGACAAGAAAGGAAGTTTTAATAAGAAGAGCTAAAAATCTCAAAAAATTGTTTCTCCAGTATTACAAATGCATATTAAAATAGTAGTGATGTAGTTAAGAATATGTTGAGGAATGGTGGTGAAATATATTTCCCTTTTGTGTGTGTGTGTGTGTGTGTGTGTATGTGTGTGTGTGTGTGTGTGTGTGTGTGTGTGTTGTTTTTTTGGTTGGTCATGGGACTTGAACTTAAGGCCTGATCACTGGCCCTGAGCTTTTTCACATAAGGCTAACACTCTACCACTTTGAGCTACAGCACTACTTCCTGTTTTCTGGTGGTTAATTGGAGATAAGAATCTCAAGGACTTTGCTGCCTGTTCTTCAAACTCCAGTCCAGGTTTCTTAGTAGTATTACAGACATGAGCAACTGGTACCCAGCTTGTGAAAATGTATTTTTTCAGGCACTAGAACATGTGTGTGATTTGGCATGTTTATCACATCTCTTTTAAAAGAAGCATTAGTTAATTATGGATCTGGGCTAAGAATAGCTGTTCTTCTGGTAGCTATAGAGAGTATGTCATTGTCTTCCCAGCATTCCTCTGGAACTCCATGAAGGAAGGTACATCTTGCCCTTTGGTTTTTTAACTTTTCAAGTGTACAGTAGGCTACATTCATGGCTATACACATAGTATTCAAGATCTTTTTCAAAATAAATAAATGAGATCTGACCAGTGATAACTATTTGGGGCGGGGTTGTAGTGGGTTTCTTTTTAAGAACTCTTCTTTAAGATGTGGCCTCTGGGGTTCTGCTCTGATAATAAACTTTATATCATAAGTTAGTTTTATTGTGGTATTATGGAATTTGGAGGTAATTTTATGAAGCTGATCTTGGTATCCTCAACTGTTGACAAATGACTCTTAATGTTTAGTTTGGTGCAAGATGCTGGGAATATAGGTCTATTTCCTTTATTCAAACTCAGTAAATGGTTTGGGACAATTAATTTCCAATTGTTTCCCAGCAGAACAGATTTACTTGTATATTAATGAGGCACAGGTGTTAGGCCCCTAGTGTCTGCATGCCTGGGAGGCATATTTCAGTGTTTATCTACTCAGCCATAGGTACTGCAAGGTACTGAAGCTTGCCTTTAACAGTTTTTACAGTGAGGCTTTTTAATTTTTTGATGTTTTCTTCAAATTTGCCTGCACCTGTTAAAATTTTAAAACCAATCATGTAGAAAGAAGTCAAAAAGATTTCATAGTAAGTACTACTAAAAGTAGTCATCTAAACTAAACTGTCCAGCATAACATTAAAAAGAAACAGGGTAATTCAAACAAATATTTCATGTGAAAAGCCAATATAACCAACAGGACACTATTTCATTGTGTATTTTTGGAATAGGTATGTTTGTCAATGTATAACTCAGTCATACATGTATATTAATTTGTTGTGTTTTTTTTTTGTTTATCCACTGAACTACATAACCAACATTTAGAGAAAATGGAATAGCCTCTATAGACATTATGTATTTCAGTAGCTGGCATAATTATAGCTATCTACATATTCATTAAATCTACAGAAGAACTGTCCAAAAAAGACAGCGACACATTCAGGAACAGAACAAAACTAAATATACATTTTAAAAGTTACATTTCATGCATGTATTTGAAATTAACTTCCTGTTCCACTTCACTCCAAGCAGAAGAATTTAACAAAAGGGTTTCCATGCTTTGATTTCTTTCGTATAGGAAGGAATGGGAAGAACTATTTGTAAACAACAATTATTTGGCAACAATAAGGCAGAAAGGGATTAATGGGCAGCTGAGAAGCAGCAGGTTCCGCAGCATTTGCTGGAAGGTAAGAAGAAAATATTTATTTATAGTTTGTGATTGTTATATATCAATATACTAACCTGATACCTTGGAAGATTATCCATTCAGGGGATCACTGAGTCTTCTAAGAGGCTTCACTTTGGCCATCCATGTTTGTCTTTCTTAGAACATTTACTAATGAAGGTTAGCCCTATTAGTCCTGAATAACTATGGATGTTAAAGGAATCAGTTGTCATTTTGTTTCTTTTAATGGGTGTAGAGCAAAACCATTACATTACCTACAGGCATTTGCAGAAATTCTTGAATTTGGACAGTTGGAGTGGCGGAGGTGGTATCTTTCAAGTTCATATATCATGTGAAATCATTTAGTCATCCTCCTTTTTCTTTGTCAACAAAGACCAGAAAATATTTTTCACATTTTTTTTTCTAGTACAAAGTGAGGGCACCAAGAATTGGAAGGAAATTGAGTCCATCTCTTTAGCAGGAAAAGGTCATTGGTTATAAAAGCTAATAATAAGCTGCAGTTAGCTTTTTAATTGCTCTGAAAAAAAATTCTCCAAAAATAAATTCAGGCTTAGACTTATTTTTACTATGAATTTTATCAAAAGTTTCTAGTGCTGTATTCATAAATCAAATACACTAAACTCTGTACAAATCAAGATATTCATGTCACATTAGACAATTTTAGATTTAATAAGGTAGCTTTAATAATTAAAATTCATTTTTCTTCTGTAGGCTGCTAGAAAATTTGTATAAAGATATTTGTGCTCAACCTCATTCCATGTTCCTTAACTTTTAGTATGCTTAATTTCCTAAAAACAAACCTAAGTCCTGATTTATTTTAATAGTAACCAAAATTAAATTTATCTTTTAAAGGATGCTTATTTTCACAAGCTGATTGCCAGTAATAAATTACTTTTTTTTTTGGTTCTAAAAGGAGTAATGTTGTTTCTTACTCAATGTCCTCAAATCTTCAGACTGCTCTTCTGTTTTCTTTTAAGGAAAACTTTAAACATAGAAATTACCAACTAGATCTTTCATTTTTTAATAATTCTACCACTCCCAGTAAGATTAGAACGTAAAATGAGAAATATACTTGAATGATTTTTGCTTCAATTTTCATATAAATCTGGAGGGAAACGATTCCATTTTGAGGTGTATCTTTTGAAATCATATTTTTTGACCTTTAATTACTCAGTTTGAATTTCTAATTAAGTATTTCTTAAATATCCCCAAATATTTCCAAATATATATTAGTAGAAATTGGAATAATGATATGATTGTGAAATACCATGAATGGGTGCTTCTTCCATTTTCAGATACATCTGTTTGACCTAGTTTCACTTTGCATATTAGAGTTTTTATAAAATTTTCTCCCTTTTTTCTTCATAGCTATTTCTTTGTGTTCTTCCTCAAGATAAAAGTCAATGGATAAGTAGAATTAAAGAATTGAGAGCCTGGTATAGCAGTATTAAGGAAATAGTAAGTAAATAATATGTATAATTTATTTAATTACTTTCTTAGTACTTTTAAGTCCAATAGTCTCACCCATGTTTATGTTTTCTTTTTTTACTAGCATATCACAAACCCAAGGAAGGTTGTTGGCCAGCAAGATTTGATGATCAACAATCCCCTTTCACAGGATGAAGGAGTAAAGTTTACCTTTATCTCATAAGAGCATGCTATGTGATTGGTTTACTTATAAGAACATTCTATATGACTGGTAGAAACTTACCATGAAAGCAGTTTATGTTAAGCCAAATATTTTTTACAACTAGAAGCTGATAGAAATGATTCTGTGCCATATACATATTGCATTATGGGGAGTTTATAATTTGTTGCTGTAGAGTGTTACTACAGAGAAGTTCCTTGGGTCTACAAGCACCGAGAGTTCAAAAAAGAGTATAGAGATAAGACTAAGGCTGCCCTAGCAAGATGAAGAATGGAATGGCTCAGAAAAGGCTTCTTATATGACCACCAAGAGTGATGGTCCCATTTGGCAGGACTAACTTTCAGGAAGAAAGAAGTAGCTGTAGAAGTCTGTAAAAAAACGCTTTTAGAAGATCAGTGAAGAATCAGGATAATTTTTCAGTTACTGCTACTCTAATTCCTGTCTTTTTATCTGAGATTATTTATTTATTTATTTATTTTTCAGTCGTGGGGCTTGAACTCTGGGCCTGGGCGCTTTCCCTCAACTCTTCAGCTCAAGGCTAGTGCTCTACCACTTGAGTCACAGTGCCACTTCCAGTTTTCTGAGTGGTTTATTGGAGATAAGAGTCTCACTGACTTTCATGCCTGGGCTGGCTTTGAACCATGATCCTCAGATTTCAGTCTCCTCTGTAGTTAGGATTACAGACATGACCCACCAGCACCCAGCTATCTGAGAATTTTTTAATTTCATGTAATACATGATGTTAGCATTACTTTTCCTGATATACATAATTATTACATATTGTGATATTTGGTGTAGCAACATAAGTTATTAATTTTTAAAACTTTCCCAAAGTCTACATTTTAACTTTATATAACAACTTACAAGGCTGTAAAACCAAGCTTTGTAGAAAACATTTTACTGCATTGAGAATTCAAGTCAGGTTCTAATTGGCACCATTTTTTTGCTGTTGGTACATGAAGTAGCAGCAAGTATTCAGCATTCACTTTATAGAGATAAGACGTAATTTTAAAACATAAAATAATGCCTGACTGGAAGCTGGGTACTCGTGCCTTATGCCTATAATCCTAGCTACTCAGTAGGCTGAGATCTGAGGATTATGGTTCAAAGCAATGTCACTCTTATCTAATTAACCACTCTTAACCAATTAACTAACCACTGTGGCTCAAACTGGTAGAGTGCTAGCCTTGAACAAAAGAGCTCAGGGACAGCACCCAGGCCCTGAGTTCAAGCCCCATGGCCAACCCCCCAAAAAAAAGCAGACTGGAAAAATTGGTGTTAAAGAGTATATTTTGGTATTATACTAAATTTGAACTACTATTACAATCTTAAATTTCCTATGTAAGAACATGAACAGATAACTTAGAGAAGAATTAATTTAATCACTTAAATTATTAAATTGAAGTCATACCAGTCAAGCAAGGTATGTGACTTGTAAATTAGATTGTTCTTATTTCAGAGTCTTTGGAACAAATTCTTCCAAGATAAAGAGCTTCGATCAATGATTGAACAAGATGTCAAAAGAACGTATGTAACTGTTACTTTCACTAATTCAAATTAATGTTAGTTAACACAGTATTTTAACAAATTGTAAAATCTGCAGAGGAGCCTTAATTGAATTCAGTATTCTATCTATGTTAGTTCTGAAGGATTTTTGAGCAAATTTTCAGAGTAAAGACAATTTTTTTCTTCAATACAGGTTTCTTTATTTTTTCAAAAATAAACTGTTAGAAAATTAAGTTTAATATTTAATTTTATTGATTTCCAACAATTATTTGAAATCAGTTGATTCTAATAGTTTTTTATGGGTAGTCATTCTATGGCTATTACTAGAAAAATATAGGCAAGTTATTATTTTTCATTCTTTTCTGTGTATGTGTGCCAGTATAGGGATTTGAGCTCAAGGGGCCTAGCATTCTCACTCATGGCTAGTGCTCTATCACACAAGCCACACAGCATTCATTCTAATTAATTGAAGATGGCATCTCTAGTACTTTTCTGCTCTGACTGACTTCAAACCTAGATCCTCCTGGTCATAGTTTCCTGAGTCACTAGGATTAAAGGTATGAAACAGATCAAGTTACTTGTGTGTGTGTGTGTGTGTGTGTGTGTGTGTGTGTGTGTGTGTGTGTGTGTGTGTGCATGTGTGTGTGTATCTGGGTTTAAACTCAGGATCTGGGTTCTGTCCCTTAGCTTTTTGAGCCATAACTCCACTTCCATAGAAGCTTCAAAATGTGATCCTCATTTCTCAGCCTTCTGAGTAGCTAGGATTACAGGTATCTCGTACCTGCACAGATCCCAAATTACTTTTTAAATGACAACCATCCTTTTTTTTAATAATGCTAGTGTTGGAACTCAAATTCCAGGCCTCATACTTTTGCTTAGCTTTTTGATAAAGTCTCACATTGCAACTAGAACCAAAGCTCCACTTTTAATTTTTTTGTTAGAGATAAGAGCCTCATGGAATTTTCTGCACAGGCTGACTTCAAAATGCAACTTTTAAATCTCAGTTCCCTGAGCAGCTAGAATTACAAGCACCAGATACTAGTCCCCAGCATCACAACTATTATTTCTTACCCTTCTCATTTCTCTTTCTCTTGAAGTTTTTCTAATTTGCAGAAAATCTTTTCTCAATTTTCTCAGTATTTACCATGAAAAAGAACAATTTATGTAGCACATAGTTAGTATCCGTAACTTTTTTGTGTTGGACTTCATTTTTCTCAGTCATATATTGGAAAGTACATGAAATTTGTATAGGGATTCTAGAGTGAGTTCCATTTAATTGTAGGAAGATTCCTTCCAACATCTTCCCCTTCCATTTCTATCCTCTTCTATAAAATGGGATATTATCATCCACCTCATAAGAATTTTGTGAATTGATAAAAATGGATTGATAAGTGCAGGGTAAGTAACCCTGTTTGAGATTTTTGAGATTTCTAGGTACATTCTAGTTTCCACAAAGGAGGGAAACATGCAATCTATTTCTCTGGGTTTGACTTTACTTACTGTAATTTTTTCCAAGTCTTTCCATTTCTTTATGAATGGTACAATATCATTCTTTCTGATGGGTAAATAGAATTCCATTGTGTATATATACCACATTTTCTTGATCCATTCATCCATTGAGGGACATCTAGGATGATTCCATACTTTGTCTATGGTGAATAATGCTTCAGTGAATATGGTTTGAATATGGTTGTGCTAGTAGCTTTAGTGTGGTCTTGTTTGTGCTCTGTTGGACAAATGCCTGGGAGTGGAATTGTCAGGTCATAGGGTGGGTATCTCTATGTTTAGTTTTTATTAGGACCCTCCATATTGCTCTGGAGTGGTTGAAAAAGCTTCCTTTCTCACTAACAGTGTAATAGAGTTCCTTTCCAGTTTCTACACCAACAAGTGATATCGTCAGTTTTCTTGATATTGCCTATAACTCTACAAATAAACACACTAGGTGGTAAGCAAGTGAATACAAATGAATTTACTGAAGTATAATAACTATGGAGAGCCAGGTGCCGGTGGCTCAAGCCTGTAATCCTAGTTACTCAGGAGGCTGATATCTGAGGATCATGGTTCAAAGCCAGCCCTGGCAGGAAACTCCGTGAGACTCTTATCTCCAATTAAAAAAAAAAAAAACACTAGAAAACCCGAAGTGGCGCTCTGGCTCAAGCAGTAGAGCACTCACCTTAAGCTGAAGAGTGCAGGGACAGCATCCAAGCCCAGAGTTCAAGCCCCCCGCAACGGACAAAACAAAAACAAAAACTATGGAGAGTGCAAATAGTGTAATTCTTTAAGAAGACTAAGTCAGAGCCCAACAAAATAAGTACCCAGAAATGGATATTTGCAAGAGGGGAGGATGGAACCAAGGGAAGAGGAGCAGAAGAATTAAGCAAGGAGGAGAAGGGGAGAATACCGGCAAGAATTCACTGTATATACCACAGAACTGAGAAATGTATAGGGGGTGGGTCAAAAGGGGGTGAAGACATTGAACTGATGACACAGATCAAAATACATTGCACACAGGAACCACTTTGCTAAAAGGCAAAACAATTAAATATACAACCTAAGTAAGGGAAGGGGTAGGTTGGGAGAGTTGGGTCAGAATGTTGAAAGGGCTAACACTGATCAAGATGGATTTGGTGAATGGCAACTCCTTTCTACAACTACTTAAAAACAATAAAAAATTAAAAAAAGAAAGAAATTTAAGTGAGATTTGTGGATACATGGATTGAGTTTGCCAGTTGACCATCCCTAATACATAAATTCAAACTAAAAAATGGGTCAAAAACCTAAACTTGTTAAGTGTCATGTCCATGTTCCAAAAATTTTGGATTTTGGAGCATTTTCAATTTTGGATTTTCACATTATGCATGCTTAACCAATATGTGTAGTCATAGTGGTAATTTAGAAATTTACACTTTAAGCTATAAATCATTATATAAATGTGTAAATTTAATCACTGGGATTTGACATTTTCCAACTATGCACAGAGCTATGACTATCTTTTTAAATGTGGTAACTCCTGGTCATACAGTTTTTTTTTTGTTTTTTTTTTTTTATTTTTTAAATATTTTTATTGTAAAGATACTTTACAGAGGGGTTACAGTTACATGAGTAAGGTAATGAGTACATTTCTTATCAAGTATTGTTACCTCCTCCTTTGTTTTTCCCCTACCATCCCTTCCCTCCCCAGCTCCCCAACTCCTCCCTCCTCTTGCCCCCAAAGCTGTAAAGTTTGTTTTCAACATAATATCTTGTACATCTCATTGATGCAATGGGTCAACCTGTATCCTTATTTCAACATTTTGTTATTTCCCTTCCCGTCTCCAAATTAGAAAAATATATATACAAGATGCAGGGCATCCAAATGAAATACAGTGAAAACAGGAGTTATATCATGGGGGAAGCACATACAAGAGAGACAAAAAATTCACATGGTGCATTATAAATACATTAATGACAATAACAAGAAAAATAAAACCACTTGTGTCCCTATCTTAGGGTTCATTTCCCTTAACATCTTCTTTTTTTTTTTTTCTAGAGAAGATAGTTTTATTTTGTTCAGATTTTTTCCTCATAGAATTTTCTTGAAAGAGGCATAATATTACGGACATTGAAAACACATCTTATCGATAGAATGAATAACAGGTGATTTTATTTTTCCCTTGAATCATTTATTTTTATTTTTTTAATTTAATTTAATTTTATTTGTGAACATACTGTACAGAGGGGTTACAATTACATGGGCAGGATAATGCGTACATTTCTTACCAAGCATTGCAGCCTGGTCATACAGTTTTGTCTGTATGTTCCACTGAGTTCAACTCCTAATAAGTCTATTACCATGTGAAGTTCTCTGGTTTGCTGACATTCTATATCTTTCGTACCTTAAACTCCTTATAAATTAAATGAGATGTACTAACATTTAAATTACATAACTTATTTTGTTAGGAGTAAGAATAATTTTACATAATATATAACATACAAAATAAGAATTTTATATAGCATATAAAATTATATATTATGTAATAGATAATACATATAAGAAACTTAATATTTTATATTAAGTTTTAATATATTAATATGTAATATATGTAATATATAATATCTAGTATGTATTATGTAATACATACTATGTTACATATAATATAGTATGTATTACATAATATATATTATGTAATATAGTATATATTATGTATATATAGCATATGTATTACAAATACTATATACTATATATACTATTTATTATAGTTATATAGTATACATAATATACATTATATACTATATGATTTTTATATAGTATATAATATTATAATATGTAACACATTATATATATTATATGTTACATATATTATATATACTACATATTATATATTAATATATTTTAACTTAAGTTCAAGCTTCAGAATGGACAGATAATTTTTTTTATTTAAGCTGAAAATAGAGCTAGATATGCTAAGGAACACCTGTAATCCTGGCCACTAGAGGCTCATAATTCAAGGGTAGTTAAGGTTAAGGCCCCATCTAACCAACAAGCCTGGCATGATGATGTATTCATAATCCCAGCTCCTAAATTAGTCCAGCGACTGAAAATAAAGACCAGCTAGGAAAAACGTTAGTGAGACCACACTTCAATAAAATAACCCAGGTATGATGTTTCACTCCTGCTAAGCAGGAGGCATTGATTAGAAGACAATGGTCCAAAGCCTGCTGAGGATGAAAACATGAAACCCTATCTGAAAAATAACTAAAAGCAAAAAATGACTGCTCATGTGACTGAAATGATATAGTATCTATCCAACAACTAAAGGCCCTGAATTTAAACTCCAGTACTGTTAAAAATAAAGAGGCAATAATAAAAATATATACAACTCAGAGAATCATGGGTTCAAAAGATTAAAAAATAGCCATAGCAGGATGGGAATATGGGATCCGTTCGGTTTGATTGAATTATCTATGCAACATAGGAGTAAGCCATTTTTATAGTAAAGCTACTCTCGGAGGAATCCTGGGTCAGTTCTAGATCTCTCAAC